ATCACAAGCTCCCCAAGGAAATGTCGAAAGTCATAGCAACCAAAACGTGGGACACCATTTCTGAACAACAATTGGTTGTTTCTGCAGCATCATGGTCCTTCCTGCGCTACTATTCGCAGAACAACTTGAGCACGCAGAACGTGAAATTGAAGGCCTGGGGTGAATCAGCAAAGTAGAGGTCTGTGATTGAATAGCTCTGTTCTAAGAACAACATGTTCCTGAGGACGGCTTGTGGGCTGTGTTTGCCCAGTTTGGGCAAATCATTACTTTGCGCAATGTGGAAGAGACATACATTGTTCTGGGATCCTTCAAATGGGCAGTGTTGGCATGGCGGTTGTCCGAAGTTCATGAGGGCGGCAGGTGCTCGGGCTGGCAGTTGCAAGTGGAGGCCGGTTGCTCATGGCAGTTCCTTCACAACCCTGAGGAATGGGAAGCATGTGAAGCCACTCCGAAATTGTCAACACAGGCAGGACTCTACTTCAAAGCCACGTGTGGTTGGGAACCACTTGTGCAAAACACTTTGCGCTCCGGGCACAAAAGGACCTTTGCGGAGTTGACATTGATGGCGGACTACTTGAATGTGACACAAACCCACAAGAATTCCAAGAAGGAGTTGTTGAAACAGTGTCAGGAGTGTTTCGGAGAAGAGTTTGCAGAAGCTTGCCGTGAAGCTGCAGAGTCAGACACTCAGAAGGCTCCTGATGCAGATATGCCTGATGGTTTTCTATCAGCATTGTTGGACAACATGGAGCCCTCAGATAAACAGGATTTACAGGACTTGGAGAAAGCCCTGATGCGACAGGAACAGCAGGCCGAGCAACAACGTTGGCAAAACATGTGGGATGAGAAGGTTGCAGAACAAAAGGCACCATGGCAAGACCTTCCAGTGAGTTTCTGAGCTAGGCTTAGACTCAATTGTTGTGATTCAAATGTGACTCAATTGTGACTCAATTGTGATTCGATTGCAGGCAAAAAGAGCGAGGAGAGCTGTGGCAAAAGCCAAAGCAAAGTCAAAACCGTGTGCCAAAGCAAAATGCAAAGGCAAGGGCAAAGGAAAAGGCAAAGGCCGTGGAAAAGGCAATGGGTTTGGAAGAGGCACAGCTTTGGGCGTGCAAGGGCTGGCTCGCAGGCAAGCAGCGTCACGAAAACGCAAGGAGCAGGTGCTCGAACAAATGCCCGGACCAGCAGTGGAAGAAGATCCAGATATCGCTGAACTCAAAGAGGAGTTGGAAAGCCAGCTGTTGGACATGAATGTCATGGACGATCGAACAACTCCTGATTCATTGCCGGCAGAGCCTTGTGTCCACGCTCCCAGTCCAAGAGAGCCCGCCCCCTCACCGGAGCCTTGCGCCCATCCTCCCAGTCCACACACTGGTGAAGGAGAGCCCGCCCCCCCGGCGGAGGAGCCCTGTGTCGATGCTTCCCGTCCACACTCTGTGCTTGGTGGTGACGGGGTCGCACACGAGGAAACAAAAGTGCAAGCACAGCCATCCAATGGGACCTTGCCGGATCCAATATCCGGGCCAAGGGACAGTGGAATGGCACAGGCCTCGTCCTCGAGCGGATCAGCCCCTGAGCAGGTCCTTGATGATGCTGAACATCGTGGCCAGGCATCGCAACGTGCTCCGCGCGAGCATGGTCCACACTTGAATAACACTCCCGACTTCCTGTCGGAGTTGGATCCACCCGAAGACTTCAAGTTGCGTCTCAGCTTCAACGATCATCGCTTCAAAGCCGCGATCATGACAAAACAGTATGTGTCAAGTGAGGGGAAAAAGTCTTGCAGCAAAAGCTTTGCTAACGACAGATCAGACTGGAAGCAAGCAATGGCTCAAGTGCATCGCTGGGCGTGGACAGAGTGGGAGAAGGCCAAACCTGAAAGGCAACTGCCGCCTCATTGTCAGCCTGGCACTATCCCTGAGGCTGTCCTGGAACGCCTTGCCGCGATTATCGACGCAATGCCTCCGCCCACAAAGTATGCCAAGTAGCCTCTTCAGTTTTTTTTGGTGATAAACACATCACAGGGGAAAACATGTCAGCAGGTTGCAGATTTCTGTCAATGTCATGTATGCAAGTATCGTGTTCTTAGCTTCAAGTCTTCTGTCGATTCAAGAAGTCACAGGGAGTGAGTTCATCCAGCCGAGTCCAATGTGTGTGAATCTGCTCCTGCTGTCATAGCGGCAACATGTTCGATTCACAATTTTGGCTTCAGCTTGTGCGCAGTTGCTGTTCATTCTGTGATTGAGTCTTTACAGTTACGTTCCAATTACAGTTGCTGAATGCCTGAAGTGTGCAATTGAAGATGACATGACATGAATCATGAAGTCTCACCATAGTTATGCTGCAGATTGCTCGGGGAGAAAGCGATCAGCAAAAACAAGCCTTCCTGACATTGTGTCCTGTTAGTTTGTGGAATGTGCTTGATTGATATGCCAGGCAAGCATTGAATCCATTTGTTGCTCAAGTTGGACCAGAGGTATGGTTTAAAGTTATGTGGGACAACAAATCAATGTATTGATGTCAGTGAATCACCAACATGTCCAATTTCCAGTGGCCGTGCCAGCATGTGCTGGGATCATCGCTGGTCTTCAGTGGTAGTGCTGGGCCTGTGAAGCCAGCACGCAAGAAATGCAAAAGGAAAAAGAATGCTGCAGAGTCATTTGAGTTGGGAGGTAGATCAGTGGAGCGCCCGTGTACTCTTCCTGCCTTGAATTTTACCGATACAGTTACAGGAACTGATGAAATTGATGATCGGTTTGACACTTGGGTAGAGGACGTCTTCGAGCAAACATCGCGATTGCAATGTTCGCATTTCCTTCCGTTTGCTTCCTTGTCTTTCTCCCCAAGGCCGGAGTCTGTTCAAAGTGTTATGGGTCACAGATTTTGTTATAATTTGAATTTTTCATTAATGTAATACTACATAAACTTATCATCATCCTCAATTGATCTTGCTGGCCAGGTCCACAGAGCCTTGGTGTCACAGGCTCATGGTTGCAAGGATTTTGGTGCAAAATTTCTTGCGCTACGACCAGGACTTCAATGTGGGCAGAGTGGCCATGAAATGGCATGGGCTGATTGGATTGGCTTATCCCGCATTGAAGAACCGAACCATCGAGTGTCAGCTGATGTGCATCATTAGCCGTAGCTATGACAACAGAGCCAAGATTGAAGCAGCTTCAATCGATGTGGGACCCCATCAATGTGCGGGGTTGCTGCAATACATTGAATACTATGCAGGGAGCGCCAAACTTTCGAAGAAATTGATCGAATCCGGTCTCCGTGGGTGCAGCTTTGACATACTCTACAATGACGAACACAACATGTTGCTAGCGAAAGGGTTGCGTTTGTTTCTGGATGCAGCCACAGCGTGTGAGAAGAAGGCTTTGCATTGGTGGGGCACTCCGTGCTCTTCTTGTGTCATTATGTGCTCATTTCGTTCCCAACGTGCTGAAAGCAACGGCTGGGAAGGCGCATGGACTGAGCGGGACTTTGTATTGCAGGGAAATTGTCAGGCCCTTGTTTGCTCACTTGGGATTTTCCTGGGATGGGCATGTGAGTGCTGCCCTGTGGTGGAACAGCCCCTCAGCTCCTGTATGCCGCACCTCGAGTGTGTCAAAACAGTTCTATCCTTTTGTGGCTTCGAAAAGACTTGCACCTACATGGGTGCCTTTAACGGAAAGTCAGTGAAGCCCTTGCAACTGTGGCATTTGCCTGGGTTTCATTTTGAGAACCTGGCCAGGCCCAAACCAGATCATAATGCTTTCATTGGTCTGGTAAACCGAGGCGAAGACGGCCGTTTCACCGGTGTGCCAGCAGATGTACAGGCTAGTGGGGAATACACTTCGATGTTCGGGGAAGCAGTTGCGCAGATTGTCCGGAATCTATTGTGACGATCCGCTTCGTCAGCCAAAATACGTTTCATAGCTTACTGAGCTGCATGCTTTTTATTATTCAAGCCAATCTGCTGTGACTGGTTTTTGGGGTGTGAATGCTGTGACACAACAGCAACAGCAGGCCATGCAGCAACACAGGTAAAACAGTGCGATGACTGATGAGAAGGTTGCATAACAATTGAGACACAAGTCTGATTTGCTTGCAGCCTTATGTCGATGTGGCTGTCTCAGTGAACACACTTGGAGGAACAGAATTGATATGGCTCTTTCAGTGAATGAGTATGCGCCGGCAAATCAGGGCCTTGGACGTCGTTCTTGCCTTCTTTGCCCCACTTGAGGAGGATTCCTCAAGATTTCCTCAATTCGAATCGTCAACCTTGCCAAGCAATGCCATGCTGACTCAAGATTTCCTCAACCTTGCAGCAACCTGTTTAAGTTGACAGGTTGTTCTGAGCAGTGTGAGGAAACAATAGATGCCATCCACTGTGACCTTGCCCGATGTGCCCATGTCGGTGCAAGGGGTCAGTGGCATGGCACAAGTGAACACACTTGAGGAACAATTTCTTGTTGACAATTTGGGAGTCACACCTTTGCAGCTTCTGCCGGCTCTTGCACAGACGTCCTCAGCCTTGCGAAAACCTGTTGGTGTTGCCGGGCTCTCACCCGAAGAGCCATCAAGTTTCCTTGCTTGGGGACACAAAGGCCAGCCATCTAGTGTGACCTTGCCCGACGTGCCAATGTCGGTGCAAGGGGTCACTGGAATGGCACAGCTTCCGGTTGCTCTGTTCACACACCGGCTTGGACAGAAATAATACTACATTTTTTCATGGTTTTCTCAACAATTTTCAGTGTCTGCAAATCTCCAGTTACATTAATTCTGGACAAACCTACCGTGTCGTAACGTATCCAATAAGTCTTTGTTCAGGTTGACTTCTGATTTTGATAACTTTGGTTTTTGCCAAGCCCACTGATCCAGCCCCCGCGGATCCAACCCTACAAACGAGCATATTGATTGAAAGGGCCTGGTGCCTAGGTGACAAGGACGCTTGGGGGTTCATCATTATACGTACGTTATATTATGCATGCGTATAGTAGCCCCTAGCTCAGGTGACAAGGACGGCTGCGACATCAACCCTTTCCGCAATGGCAACACCAGCTTCTTTGGGCAGGCCTACAGTTGCCTTACTTTTGGGGCCTTAATTGCCAAATAGGGTTCCTAGGTTTCCTTTCAAGGGGACTATAAGGAGGGTTACTACAAGGGACATATAAGGGTACTACAGTATAGGGGCCTGAATAATTACCAACACTATTTTGGGGGGTTCCTTAATCATAATTACAGTATAATGGGCCCCGGAACCTTATTCTAATTATTAAGGCCCCCATATGACATGAAAGAAGGCCAGTCGTAAGACCTTTATGGAGATGATATGCAAAGTGGGGTGGGTCTTGTCCATAATTGAAATTGCAATTAGTGCAGTAGTGTAGAGCGCTCTGATACTCAGCCTCAGCAACGGTGAAGTCTAGCCCGGCGGCACCGAAACTCCTAGCATCCTGCCGTCCTAAAGCCCATCGACCGCCTAATAGAAGTTGAACCCTATAAGACCCATTAATTAATGGCCCATTAATTAAACCCTAAACCCAAAACCCCTCAACCCGAAGCTTTAATTTGCAATACCCTGACAAACACAAAACCGACACCCCCCCCCAACAAAAAGTGCTCCCGGCACACGAAGGGAACCGACTCTGCAGTGGACTCGTCCCGGCCGATGACGGTAGTGACACAGCTTCTTTGATCTCAAAGAGGAAGTCTGCTGCAAGGATTTATGTTCGTAGCTTTTTCTAAAGGGACGGTATGAGGCTTTAGACAGGAGCACAGGGCTTTCTATGGGGGTTTATGGCGATGTATTGGGCTTCTGGGGCTTCATTGGGTTCACAAGGTGCTTCGGGTTCAGGTTCAGGACTTATTGGTTTCGGGTTTGTGGTTACAAGGGTTTCTGGAGTTCGGTTTGCGCTGAGGCACGCTGGAGAAACCACCGATAGTTAGCCTTCTCAGATAAACCGTTACATATGGGAGCTTCCGAAAATTAGGGCACCTTGTTTTGGGGTCCTTATAGTAAAGATCCTACTATTTAGGGTACTATACTAGGGTCCCCAATTTTCGGAAACTCCCATGTACATTTACATGAGCACAGCCGGACAGCTGCTTAGATATATCGCAAACCGTTAGACCTTAGGCCCCTAACCCGTGAACCCTAATCTCTTAATCCTCAACCCTACAAACGCAATCTTCAACCCTGAACGCTTACAGTAGAACCTATAAAGTTGGAAACCGGATTAAGGTCAAATAGTGCTGGGATCTATTACTCTTAAGGATTGAGGCTATCGGGTTTGCAACTTTTGAGCTTCTACTGTAACCCCCGAGTATGACTTCTTTAAGAAAAGTCCCTAAAACGGTAGGTTTTTTCGGGGTTCGGTTAACCCTAATCCAAGAGGTTTCTCACCACGGACGGCACAGACGAGGGCGACCTTTCCGAGATTCGGCGCTTCTATGTGCAGGCGGGGGTCATGGGACTTAGTAACTTGGGTTATTCCATAAGGGTTCTATAAGGGGTCCTTAGGGTTTACTTAAAGGGTCATTGGACTTAGTAACTAGGGTTAGTTAATTAAGGTAACTATACTTATTCATAACACCAATTCAGGTACTTATAGCCATACTTACTAAGTCCCGTGATCCTTCCAGTTGGCGGGGCCGTTGGGAGGGTGGCCCCTGCTGTTCGTTCCAAGGATCTACACGAATTCTTTGGGTTTGGGGTTTAGGGTCGAGGGGGGAGCGTCTTGGTTCTGATTGCTTACCTCATCGGTTAGTAGGGAATGGAGGAATGGATTACAATCTAACTACTATTACTACCATTCTTCCATTCCCTACTAACCAAAGGTAAGATTAGGGTTGTTTAGGGTGTGTGGGGGGAGCTGGGGTCCAGGATTTTCGGAGTTCCACTGAACCCGAGGCCGTAGGCGAGGCCGGAGGGACCTGTTCCTGAAGTGTTTTCATGGTAGCACCTAACATAAGGGCCTTTCTCATTGGTGTAGGGTTTTGGTGTATGTTATACTCCCTATGCAGAATCAGAAACCCTAAGCCCTAAAACCCTAAACCCTAAACCCCAAATCGCACTGGTAACTGTTTCAGGCCGGTATGTCGTATTGGGCTACGGCTCGATACTGTAGGACTCATGGTCGGAGTAGCCCATTGGCCTAATTCCGTGAAGCCCAAAACCCTTCAACCCTAAACCCTAAGGGCGATGCCCAAACCCGAAACTCCTCAAGGGTCATACTACTCAAAGGGCTCCAAAACCGTTTAATTGAGGACTATACCTTAAATTATACTCGGAACCTGACTTAGGTTTACGGCATATTCCTTACTTGAGGGGTTAAGAGGTTTTGGGAGGCGCTGAGTACTGAAAGGGTTCCAAAGGTGGGATGAAGCCCCGTGGGGTAATCCCAAAGAAGAGTCCTAGTAGTAGAGTAGGGAACCTTTAACCTTTTTTTAGGTAGTACAGTCCCTAAATAATCCCTATATAGCCAAAAAGGTTAAGCTTTAGTTCCCCATGATACCCGACAAGTAGGGAGTCCTTTTATAAGAGATAACTGATCCTAATCCCAAACAAGAGTCCTTAGGTAAGGCATCCTCGATCCTGCCTGCCTCATCCCTCCCTATGACGGGGGTTCCGAAAATAGGGACATGCGTTGCGCAGTACTGCAAGCTTCGGAAAACGCCACTTGATCTTGAGTGATTCCATGACTGCAGCGGGTGCCTTCAGCCGGGGTCGTTCAAGCGTCTATCAATTTCGTCGTGTTTGCCAACAAGTTGGGCTCTGGCTCTGGGCAGTGGCAGCTCCTTCCACTTCAGATGGGATCCTTCGGAATACATTCCGGCTGACAATCCAAGTCGGGGAATCTGGTCACCATCCATACCGGCGCGCCTGAGCCATGGTCATCCATCGCCATTTGACGCCGGAGCCGGGCCCAGTGAAGCACCAGCGAAGGGGAAATACGTCTCAGAAGAGACCCCAGCATTGGTGGTCCCAGCACCGCTGACGGAGAATGCTAGCTCGAGAGAGAAAGAACGAAAGCCCGAAAAGCAAACCGTCAGGAAGCGGGCCGCCCAGGAGGGGTAGGAACCGTTCTGGAGCAGGCCTCAGTGAGCACGGCGTGCCAAAGGAGATATCAGGGCATCTGGGAACCTCTCCGAAATAATAAATAGTAGGATCCTTCCTTTGAGGACTCCAAAATAACCTACCGCCTAATTTTCGGATACTCCTATGAGGCCTCCGAACTACAGAGCTGTGGGTTTTCTGTAGACCCGGAGAAGCCTGAAGGTGTAGTTGAGGCTTTCGGGGTTTAGGGTTAGATCTACAGGAACCCAGACCCCCGGAAAAGTCCAAAAAGTAGATCCCTTAATAGGGGTTCCTTAAAGTACCCTTAGTAGTACAGGGCCCCAAATTGCGGGATCTACTTTCTAGATACTCCCGGGGGTCCGGGAACCTCAAAGTCATAGCCAAAGCCCCCAACGTGAGACCCGGATCCCCAAAATCCGAAGTCCACACACCCAGCACCCAAGTACACGCACATCCCTCTCTGAACCCTATAAACCCCAAAATAGGGGCCTCAATAATTACCTATACTACTTTGATTTCTGGTGCTCCTTAAGATAAATATGGCACAACGGGCCCAAAAACCCTATTCTAATTACTAAGGCCCCCCATATTAAACCAGCTAGGATGGCCGGGCGATTGCAAGCCCGCCCATCACCATCCTCCCGAAAACTCCGGACTCTATCACCGACGAGATGTGCGAGGACTCCGAGAGCGACCTGCAAGCCGAAGCATTTGCGGTTTTGGGTGGGGCTAGTTGGAGGGGCAGGGGACGTGGTAAGTATATTAAGTAGAGTTTTCAGTACACTAAATGGACTTACCCCAATCATAACCCTACTTAGAATCTACTTACTAAGTCCCCTGCCCCTCCAAGTAGGCTTGCTTTGAGGGATCTATAAGGGCTTTTTCAGGGGAGGTTCATGGGTAGTTAGAAGTAGGGCAGCAGGGCTTGTAAGTAGGATGCCCACAGTTATAGCCATACGACTTATAGACCCCACTTTCAACTGACTATGAACCTCCAATTGAGGGTTTTGGGAAGCTTGGGGTTTAGGGTTGAGGGCCTGAAGAAGTAAACTATGGCTCGATGGACATTATACTGGAGTGTACATTATGTGGCCCAGCCAGCATGTCCAGAGTTTAGGGCTGCGCTGCTTTGCTGCTTCTGGATGTCTGGATGTCCTCAAAGTGACACGAGGATGAGGCTCCATTCAAGATCTTTCTGGAAGAACGACAAACAGAAATCCTAAATCCATAGCGTAAGCTCTAAGGCTTACAAGCCCTAAGCCCTGAACACTTCAAGCTGCGCGTCAAAGACCTGAGCGAGAAACAAGGATTGGAGCAAGCGAAGAACCGTGGAACTTGAGCAGTAGACAACCTTCTATGTAAGGCTGGGCAATACGGCAATCGTCAAAGAGGTTGTAGTATAGGCGCCTTAAAAATTACCTAAACTCTGTTGGGGGCTCCTTGATAGAATCATAATATAATGGGCCCCAAAGCCCTGTTTCAATTGTTACGGTTCCTGTATTACTTGAAGGCGGAGTGAACAATGACTGCAAGTGCGATGCTCCTAGTTGTCAGATACTTCGTCCCATGATCTTTCAAGTGGACCTACAGCCCTACTTGGAAGATCATGGGACTTAGTAACCAAAGTTATCCTTAAGGTAACCATACTTATAAGTACTTATAACCTTAATTAAGGTACTTATAGCCATAATGACTAAGTCCCATGATCCTTTACGTAGAGCCCTAAATGCCAAAGCCTGCAGCCCTTCCTGCGTCATGATCACAGCAAGGCCCTACCCTTGACAAGCTGTTAACATGTTCAAAAAACCTGTGATACGAAATCCTGAAGCTGTAGTCCCTAGTATTGAAGTCTATTAAGTCCGTGTAGGGTAACCGTCTAGACGTAAGCCCCTAGCATAGCGCAAATGAGCATGTCAACGACAGGACATAAAGGAGCTCTTCGACAACAAAAACGACTACCAAGAGAAAGGTGGAAGCAAGGTCGGCTCGGCTCAGAGTATTTAGGATTCAGGGGTTTGGGGTGTAAGATGTTCTCCTTTTCTCTGCTCAGAGTAAGGCAGGTTCACTGTTTAAGACCCAAGGTCGGATCAGAGTTTAGACTTTTCATTGTTGCTTAGTGGTTGTGGGTTGTGGCCGTGCTTTCAGAGGGGGTCAGGTTCGGATCGTAAAGCTTGTTGTTGTTTGCTTTTAGATCTATAACGAAGGCGAGGGCGGCTAGGGAACACTATAAGTAGGTTGACAGTCTCGGTGATGTGTCAGCGGAGCTTCGGTTCAATGACAGAACTTTTTTCCCCAACGCGCGAGCGTGATCCCCGTGCACTTGTACCCTGAGCCACAAAACTTAAGCATACACCCTCAATAAGCCTATACCCTCTATCGCTCTGACAGCCCCCCTGCCCTACATCCCGTAAGCTGTTACGCCCTGAGCCCGGTCCCCATTACCCAAAAGTAAAAAATAGCTCATAATGACGGAGAGCCCTATATTTCAAGCCACATTTCTTTACAGCCCTTGTAAAGACCCTACTTGGAGGTTCATGGGTAGTTATAAGTAGGGTTATAAATAGGGTAACTATACTTGTGTCCCAGGTATTCGGGGACTTCTATCCCCACTTATAACTACCCATGAACCTCCAAGTATGGGAAGCTACGAGACCCCGTATATTCAAGGCACTTGAGCCCGAAGCAGGCCATGGGAGAGTCTCTGGATCGTGGCCATGTGGCGGCTGCTTGGCCAAGGGTTCCTATGGTCTTAGGGGTTCCTGTAAAGGGATCTCTAAGGTTTCCTTCAAGGGGTTTTAGGATGTTTTAGGGCTTCTCGGGTTTAGGGGTCTAGGGTATAACTATAAGTTAGGGGTTCCAGGTTAAGGGATCCGGCTACCAACAGCCGATAGTGTTGTAGAAGGGACACTCGCACACAAATGTAGGAACGTGCATACTTATCTACGTACATATCTTCATTCATGCAGACATATACATTCATACACTAATGCATGCATACATACATGCACGCATACATACATGCATTTGTGCATGTGCAAGTGCATGCAGACCTGCATAGGTGTATACATGCATACATACCTGCAGCACACGCATCAGAAACTCTCAGCCCTAAACTCCCTGGGCACTAATTCGCCCTTACACCCGAAATCTTAACGGCTCTGTTTGGATCTATACTTTTTTTGTTTAGGGCTTGTGGACTGGAATCCGAAATCGGTATCTCTAACACCTAAACCTGATGGCCACAGTCCAAGAGCCCTAGGGATCTAAGGACTTACATATTAAGGCTTTTGGGCCCAAAGACCATACTATATAAGGCTTTTGGGCTATTTAGATCCCTAGGGGAACATAGAGAAAGAGTCCAACTCTACTCCTTCGGGGCCGAGAAGGCGGGATGGGTTGAGTGCTGCGAGCAGGCTTTCTCCCTCTGGGACGACATCGACGTTCACATGATGTGGTTGGATTCCTGCGACCCGACTGCTGCGAAGTTCTCCGATTGCCCCATAAAGGGAAGTCCAGAAAGTTGGAATATGGTTTCAGGGCAGGATACTTTATAATTTACCATAAACGGCTTAGGATCATCATATTCCAACTTTCTGGCTTCTACTGTAACCATGTTTTGACCATATACCGTATGGAATGCTGCAATGCTTATGTTCCAAGAGGGGTCCCTCCATCAAGTTCGGAGGTCAGCCTTTGTCAGGCACACAAGACAAAAAGAGCCTTCGGGTTTTCTTGGTTTCTGTCTGCTCACGAGTACGTAGCTCTTTTTTGGTGCCCCGCAGTGATGGCACTTACCAGAATCGGTTTCGCGGTGGTTCTATTTCCACAATCTTACACCAGGACACCCTGACGAATAGTCTTGGTATATCTTCGGACCCATAGTATGAAAAAGCCTACACCCCTAAACCCTCGTATTATGACTGGGCCACCACGCTTTTCCAGTGTTTGCAGCTGTGTAATGCCCAGCGAAGATCTTCCACTGTTTCGTAGAACCTCAACCCTAAACCCCTTGACCTATAAACCCCTAAAGCACTCATCCCTTTAACTCCTAAACCCTTAAACCTTGACCCCTTTCACCCCTAAGCCCCAAACCTTTAAACCCCTGAACAGATTGATTCAGGGCTCGGGGCTTTCGGGCTTGGAAAGGGTTACGGCTTTAGAGTTTCGGGTTGAAATCTCGTTTTGGGTGTATCGTATACCATAATTTACATGAGGTGGATATTGGTCTTTATTCCGACACCTTGATTAGGCTTTTGGGGTTTAGGGTTTAGTCTGCCGGAAATGAAATCTTCCCAGTCAGGTTTAGGCGGCAAAGGTGGCACTACAATGATGGAGGGGCTCTAGGCCCGTCAGGCGGAGGTGCCACAGCTCATATGCCTCTCTACTTTCTTCGCTCTGAATTTACTGTATCAGACTGGTGTAAGCCACGTTTTTGTTTCAACTCAATTTTCCGGGTGCCGGGAGTCGGGTGAAGGCTTGAGGCTTTAGGCATCTCAGACTTTGGGGCACAGGGAGAAAGCTCATGAAGCTCATTTGGGTAGTTGTCATAATTATGGTTCCTTTTTGGGTACCCTAAATATTAGGTGCGGTATTATATTACGGACCCGAAAAGGGACCCTCATTTTCACAATCACCCATTTCGACACTGAAGCTCCACGAAGCCGATCAGTGCCCTACACATCAACCATTGATACTGGTGTGCAGGCATTTGCACTGATGCGCCTGAAGCCTTAAACTCGTCTCAACCCCTAAATTGGAGCTTTACATCAAAATTGCAGTCTGATGATGAAAGGCTCTATATTAGCTGTCAGGACCGCTGGAGTAAGAAGAGAAAAGTCACAAGAACGGCACTCCATAGATTTCCCTAGGCTTTTTTTTGTTACAGTGCCTTGGGACGGTCAGACTAAAGTCCGATCGATAAACGCCGAACAAGCGCTACCCCCGAGCTCCCAAGCCCAAAACAAGTTTCCTTGAGCCCTCAAATAGGCGTTGAAGCTTCGATACAGTTTCTGACCTGAAGGGTCCGATTGAAGAGTACAGCCGGTGAGAAATATTCCTGGTACTCCGAGAATATCCTTGAGCAACCGAGGCTACCCCGAAGACAAGCCACTCAGCGTCGAGTGAAGAAGATTGGGGGGAGGTTTTGGACGGTTCGAGTTTGGGTGTTTATACAAGTTTAGGCATTTAGGTGTTTAGGTCGTTTGGGCTTCAGGGGCTCCGTTTTTAAGCTTTTAGCTCTTCACCCAGGGTCCGAGCGAATTTTTTTTGGAGTCTGCATTGGGGTGGGGCCCCGGGCTTCTTTACCAAGCGTCCTTATAAAATGGTGGCTTCTTCTTTGATTCTAGGGTCCTCCATTTTCTTACACCCCACCCCCAACTACCCTCTGATATGCCCTAAATACCCACCATTAAGGATCATAGGGGTCCTGGTTTGTTCTGCATTAAGGCATCTGGTTTTTGTTAACATTGGACCCCCCCCCCCCACACCCTAAAACCACAACCAACCAGTCATAAATTTAGATCCCCAATACCCAGCCTTTAAACTTTTTGGGTTCTTACAGTCTCGTAGGAGCCGGATAGTTTAGCCATTTATTTCTGTGGCTTATTGGGGTAGTAAGTTCTTCAACCACTGAGGCAGACCTCTCACAAAAAGACACGAGGAATCTCGGTAGAGTTTTCGAGTACGCTCATAAACCTTGCAAAGAACCCCCTAAAGCACCCTTACACTACCCTTGAAGGAGCAAGTAACATGAACCCGAAACTTCTCAGAAACCCCTTCAGTTTCAGGCCCTGCAGTGATCCGGGTGTCCACCGAGGAATGTGTGCCTCGGCGGGTGAATTAGGGTTTAGGGAGTTATGGGGTTAGGGTTTAGGGGTTTAGGGCTTAGGGTTTAGGGGTTTAGGGTTTAGGGGGTTAGGGTTTAGGGTGTCCATAATTACAGGCATCGGGATATACACAGGTTACTACTCTACGAGGTTTCCTCTTGAAGGGGTCTGTACGGGTTACTATAGAGATTTAGTATAGGGTCGGAACAGTAGAATGCAGTTCATAGCATTGTTCCTGAGAGTTCTTCACTATTATAGCTATACCGCAACGTACCCGAAACCCTCTTTCTAATCATCAAAGCCCCCCCCCCTCCCACAGTAAACCCCATAAAGTGGGGAACCGGATTAAGGCCAAATAGTGCTGGGCTTCCCTATACACTACTCTTCAGGATTGAGGCTATTGGGTTTCCAACTTTTGCGCTTCTACTGTACATTGTTTGCCCTTGGGGTTGTTGTCCGGAGCGACTCACGGTTTAGGATTTTGGGTTTACGGTTTAGGGTTGTAAGATTTCTTGCACTGAAGGCAGCGAGAATGATGAAGAAACTGGTATGGAAGAACTCGACAGCTCACGGCTGTCAGAGTTTAAAACCTGGGAACATGGGAGCTGTACATAGAGCGAGTGGCCACTACATGTTAAGCATCCCAAGCGATCCGAAAAATCTGCATAAAGCTACAGGCGAGGGGCCATTTGGAAGTACTGCAAACCACCGGCAAAATGCGACCTAACCTGCCGATTCTGGCGATCGTGGCCCTTAGACGAGGCCCCGCTGTAGTAACCCTCAAAGGAACCTTTAGCCTTTAGCCGTTTTCCTACGGAAGACCCAAAACTGTACAACCTCTTATAGAACCCTTCAAGGAAACCTTCCAGGAACCCTCAAAGGAACCTTAAACCCCTATAGAACCCTTAAAGGAAACTTTGAAGGAGCTGAAAGGCCCCCCCATTTTTGTGATGAAGGCCCCGGCGGCGAGGAGAGCGCCCCGCAAAACGTGCGCAGGAAGCGCCCTTGCTGCCAAGAAGTCAAGGATTCCTTTGTCCTTTCAGGGCTCCCTACAAGGATGTATAAGGGGGTTTAGGGTTTAGGGTCTTGAAGTCTTTCCCTAGGGATCTAAATAGCCCAACAGCCTTCTGTAGTATGGTCTTTGGGCCCAATAGCCTTCTTATATGAGTCCTTAGAGACCTAGAGTTTAAGGGTTCCTTACCGGGATGTATAAGGGGGTTTACCTAGACCCCCAACTACCCTTTGTTGTAGCCCCGAATTACCTCTTAATGAGAGATATCAGAGGCCTTTGAAGGGTAATTACTTGGGGGGTCTAGGTAGGGTTCAAGCTTGGTACTGCCCCCATACAGTAAGAGTCTATCATAGGGCTACTATTAAAGTCCTAATATGTACAACAGCAGCAGCAGCAACAACAACAGCAGTAAAAGTAGGAGTAGCAATAACACAATGCTAGTACAAATAAGTGCAATAATCGTCATCAACAATAATCTCATAATAACAAGCATAAAGGCAATAATACAAGAGTAGTAACACTGCAGAAAGCGTCGCACTAATATTAATGCCAGTAATATTAGCCATACCAATAATACCATTAATGCGAATACCATTAATAACTTAACATAAGTATCAGCATCAGGAAGAAGACTACCAAAATGAATACGAATAAATAAGACGGACACTACTGCTATTGCAACAACAATACTAAACAATCGAAGACTAGTAACAGTAACATTAATAACACTAACAGTTAGCAATAACAAGTTGTCATAGGAATAGTACTAGAACCCCGTACCTTACCTTTGGTTAGCAGGGAATGGAAGAATGGTAACAAGTAATAATAGTGGTTATACTCCATTCCCTACTAAACAAAGGTAAGGTACATCGCCAGATTTCTGAGGCACACCTTCGGCCATGTTATCTTCGCGAACGCGGCTGTTGGAGAGATCGGCACCACCCAGTCTGCCGTCCGACTGCACAGGACTAAGGTTCAGGGTTCTTGCTGAGCTGGTATTTGGGTCGACATGCTTTTCGGGGAACTTGCTTACATGACATGAGGACCCAGATATGGGTACAGCACAATACTTTGGATCGTATCGAGCTCTTGTCTTGAGCAGCAGCCCGGATGGACGTATGCTGAAGCATTGTATGAGCAGTTCACAAGCACAGATCCTGCTGTAAGAATTCGGATATTGATCAAAAGGGAAGCTCCCACATCTTGTCAAAGGTATACCCCGGCTCTTCGGTGACATCACCGCCCTCAACTACGGCGACCACGCCAACGGAGACGACCACGACCACAGAGCTTACGGCGACTATGCCGACAGAGACGACCACGACCACACAGCTGACCACAACTGGCATCTCCACGGGTGCCTTATCTGAGCCATCTGAGTGACTTAGGCATCCCGCATGCCCGGCATGCCCCAATCCCGAAGGGGCTGTTGCGTTTTGTTGGTTGTCCAGGGTCCTTCAGTTTTTCACACACCCACGGGTGTACAGAACATGGAGGGCTCTATAATTGATTTTGATTCTCTGTGTGTGTGTGTGCTCATGGGTGACTCTTCTGGGCCACAGGTTACCCTACAAAGACGCCTAAGAAGTAGATTTGCCATCTATGCTTCAAACATGCCTCCATAGCCAAAATGTACTGTCGGTATGCTGTTGCATTCATGCCTGTCTTCGGATGGACCACAGAGACTAGAAAAAGGCAGCCGCTTCTGCATGCACATAACTGTACATGCACGCACATACACACACACACACAAGCATATATATATATATATATATATATATATATGTATGTATCTCTCTCTCTCTCTCCCCTCCATCTCTCGCTCTCGCTCTCTATCTCTCTCCCTCTCTCTCTCTCTCTCTCTCTCTCTATCTATCTCTCTCTCTCGCTCTGCACAGTGACTACCCTAGAAAGACTCCTGGACTCTCGTAGTGAGATCCAAAACCATAGCTTCGAAAGACCAAACCCAGATGTTTAGGAGCCTTAGACAAAACACTACACCCTACCCATAGGCTCCACAGTGGTTCCTTTTTGAGGGTTGATATTTTAGAATCCTATAAGGTAATCCCAACAGGAACTACTATGGAGCTTATGGGTAGACTCTAAACCCAACTCTGTAGTCACCCCAGACAGAGTGAATGCGAGGGCCTCGAGCCCACACCTTAACCCAAAGGCTCCATGTACCGTTGTAGTAGATACTTAGGCCTTAAAGTCCCTATATGGAGACCCTTTTGAGGCTTAAGTATTTAGTATAAAGGTGCCCTGATAAACTGGCCTTAAGCTCCCAATTAGGCCTGCGCCCAATCCCATGGAAGCCTGAGTAATTATTAAATACCGTTGTTGCTCCTTAGGGTTTCCTAATATACATATATATATATATATATGTATATATATATATACACACATATATATATATATATATATATATGTGTATATATATATATATATATATGTATGTATATATATATATATACTACACCATACCCGGAAACCTCATTCTGATTCTGATATAATTTACGCCTGAATGCCAATCCTGCACGGAGCGCGCACGGAAGGCGCCTGGGAGCCCGTAGATGGAGGCGAGGGCCGCGCCTGCCGTGGTTCCAGCCGCAGCGACAACAGACCTCAGTGCTTTCGGTGGCAGCTACAGTGTAAACCCTAAAACCTCAATTTAGCCCTAAGCCTTAAACCCCAAACCCTGTTGGCAATTTTGCCCTTTGGGCTTGGGATGTTCAGTGGAATGCCTTTCCAGACCTAAACGGTTTACAAGCATTTGCCATAGCTGGGTATCATTTCTACATTTTGAAGGGTACTTAAACCCTATAAGGAACAAAAATGTGCATTTTTCAATCCTATCCCAACCATGAACTAGGCATGGTCTTCCTAGGATCCTTCGGGGAGCCCGGGTCCAAGGGGGGAAGCCTTGGGGGGAAACGGGGCGTTCTAAACTTGAACCTCTCCTCTGAGGATCATGTATGATCCTAAACGGTGCTAGGCACTGCTATGGGGATACTATACAAAGTCATAAGAATCCTTATGTGATTTATGATTAGAAACCCTACATTCTACCATATAGGTACCGAGGGTCTGTCGGGAAGGTCTAGCAAGTCTAGTACAAGTACAAGGATCAGAGAAAATCCCATGGTCTCCACCCTGAAGCCGGAAAAATCTCGGTATAAACCAAGATATTGCGTTTTAATCTTATTGAGCCTCCGTCTCCTTGCAAACTAGGAGTTCCAAACTCTGGAAACCCCTAAACCCCCTCCGAATCCCCAAACGTCACATCAGCTCCTGGCTTGAGTCGAAGAGGTTCACAAGTTTTTTTGTGTATGAGGATTCGGGCTCCAGAACTGTACCCTGCTGTAGACCTCCATAGATTCTTGTTGCAATTGTTGCTGGGGGGAAGCGTTCGGGTTCGGGTTTATGCCCCTTTTGGGTTTCGGCCTTCCGTGAAACCCTGATTTCAAAATTGGGCTTGGGCGTTGGCAAGACCGACGGGAGGTACATGTAGAATAGCAGACAAGACTGCCCAGGTACTACCAGCTTGTGCGCGGCATCACCTCTCTGGAGGCCAGAGTATAGAGCTTATGGCGGGCAAGGAACATTACCTGCCTCCTGCTCACATTGGTGCTGATCGCGTCGATGATAATGATGATGCCGACCACGATGATGATGAGCATGGAGATGATGATCATGATGATGGCCTTCGTCACCACGACCATACCTGTTGTGGAAGTGATGAATGCCTATTGGGACTACCGGAAGTTTTTTTTCTGACATTGCTGATCTGCCAAGGCAGTACCATTTCCAAACCTCCGAAGCCTAAACCCTGGACCGTAGCAGCACAAAGCCCGAAACCCGGAGCTTGCTCCAAGCAATCCAATCACGCTCTTCTTCTCTCCGTCCAAAAAACTCTTCATCCCGTGTTCAGAGTTTAAAACTCTGTTTGGGGTTCGGATCCCTTAACGCCGCATATTATCTTAGATTGGCTTTTCCTTCGGGATCACAAGTTGTGGGGTTCATGGGACTGTTGCACTCATCTTTGAGAGAAACCATGTTTCATCCACACTAGCATAGGAACCGGGTTCTTAAGCAAGAACCTACGCTTTAATAAACTCAAGGATCACTAGGTAGGCTCAATCCATCGCAGTTGGCAGCATGCAACCCACGGATTGAAATTGAAAAACCCTAAACTCACATGCAGACAAGAGCTCTATAAGATTCTGTACGGGTCCTGTAACAGCTCCTTTACGATTTCTTCACGAAGGCCCTGAACCCTAAACCCTAAACCATGGCCCTCTAAACCCTTAACCCTAAACTACGGCCCTGAACCCTCAACTCTAAACCTTAGCTAAACCCTAAACCATGGCCCTGAACCCTAAATCCTAAACCAAAAGAGCCCTCAAAAAAAAAAAAAAAAATATATATATATATATATATATATAAACAATGGCCCGCAACCATGGAGGACTGCCAGATGCACTGTGCTGCCACAGCCGGCTGCCGCGGCGTGGAATTCTCGCGTCAGCGATGTGAGGCTCAAAGGTTTCAGGGCTTGCTGTTTTGGGAGTTTAGTGTTCCTTTTAAAATGCTTCATTCAGATAAGGGTTACAATAGTGCAGCTTGAATCAATATGATGCTACAGTGTAGGGTTTGAGGCTTGAGGCTTCAGGGCGTAAGGTTTTGGGGCATTGGGTTTAGTTCAGTGCTGGAAGGGATTATGGTTAAGGGTTTCGGCGGGTGGGTGCTGTCTGATTGCAGACTGTCGGTCTGCAAGACGACACTTTGGTGTACAGGTTTGGGGGTTTACGGACTTCCATATAAATGATGTGGGTCCTGATTTCGACCAGGATGGGTTATGTAAGTTTGCAAGTTTCTGCACTTGCGATTTTGAGCCGTCGCCAGGGTTTAGCAGGGCACGTGGGCTCAGGATATAGGGTGAGGGCGACTCCGTGAGAGTCAGGTTCTCGATTGAAGGTTTGATGGGAAGTCGGCTTACAAAGTTGCGCGGTTGAAAATTTTATGAGCCTGATCTTCGTATGGCCTAGTACTAGTGCCACAAAGTTATACTGATGTAGATTCAGTGTCCAGAGTTTCAGTCCTTAGGCATTCAACCATAAATCCTGCACTGCAAGATCCGACATTTCCGAAGCCCCACACCTCCTCCAAAGGACCTGGAGGGGTGAGCAACGTCTATGGAGTCTAGTTCCAGAAAACCGGCACTTGGGACGTCAGGATGTGCATCTGGCAAGCCGGACGTGCCTTGAATTTGCTTCAATACCACAATGTAAAAGCCGCAAACCTTACCCGACAGGATCCAAGGATGCTACTACTATGGAATTGGGTCGCCCCCAAAACCATGATTAGAATTGTCTGTTGGGGCCGGATTTTTGAAGAGTAATAAATGTGTATGAATATGTATATCAGTTATAATTATATATATATATACACACCTATATACGCCCTAAACCCTGAATCGCAAATCAACATCCAAACCCTAACCCTGAACCCTGAACCTACTTGGAGGGGCAGAGGACTTAGTAAGTAGGGTCATAAGTAGGGTTATAATTGGGGTAACTCCATTTAGGGCACTTATAACTCTACTTATAACCATACTTACTAAGTCCCCTGCCCCTCCAAGTAGGGTACTTCAGGGCCATTCGGCCACGACCGCATCACCAAAGGCCCTAAGGTTGCAAGCACCAGCACTCGATGCCATGAATCCCCGAATCCCTTAAGCCTAAACCCCCCAAACTTAAAAAACAAAATCCAAACCCTATACCCAATGGCCTAAACCCTAATCCCCTAAACCCGACTATGAAGCCCTATGCCCTAAGCCCCTAAACCCTCAAGCCCAATACCCCGAAACGCCCTCTTCAAAGAGGTGTGGCTGCGAGCCGAGGGTATTGAGGCAAGCTTACCACTCCAAGCTCTCAGTGTTCTGTTTAGGGTTTAGGGTTTGGATGCCTTGCCACGGTGGTTGTCACTGCAGGTTTCAGCATAAGAGAGCTCAAGGCTGTTGTGTTGAGTGGAAAGGGCTGTCAGGGTCGATGCAGGGCTTTAGGGCATGTAGAGGCTGATGTCTCGAAGCTCTGCTATGCTCTGCTGAGGGGAGTTATAAGGTCTTGTGGGTTCACGTTGGTGGTCTTGGAACCTCGTAAGATGAGCATATTTTCTATTCTCGCAGGTGCACACTTGGGCTACCAAACACAAAGGCCCAATCAATACCAGGTTTGGTCCACCCTCTGTGCTGTGCTGCAAGTAAAATCTGAACTTCGACGCTGCGAGCCAGGCGACGATCGCGCTGCCAGGCTTCACATGCATGCGCTATGCCACTTAGCTTGCCAGGCCCAACCCAGAGAGCCCACTACCCCTTAATTGAGGAATATGGCTTAAATCATAATATGAAGCCCTATATAATTTAAGCCCTTTTCCTTAATTAAGGGGTATTGGACTTTCTTGGAACAACCCCCCCCCCCCCCCCCTTCCGAACCGATCGACCGCAACCCGCCCCATCAAGCCGGAAGCCTTGAGCTGCCCCACTTGGAGGATCATGGGACTTAGTAAGTAAGGTTATAAGTACCTCAACTCGAGTTATAAGTAGCTATAAGTATAGTTTCCCTAATACTAACTTGAGTTACTACGTCCCATGATCCTTTAAGTAGGAGAAGTTTTCTTCGAGCTTTCAAAACGAGTTCACCAGAGCAACGAACCTTGTAATTCCCTAAAGGTCCATGTACCGAAACAGTATATACTTTGGCCTTAAAGTGTTCCCTATACTGCGGCATAGGTACATTGGGCCGCAAGTATATACTATTTGGGTACATGGATCCTTAGAGATTAGTCTAGACTCCAAGTCCTCAGATCTTTGTTCGCAGGATCCCAAAGGTAAAGTATAAGAGGACAAAGTTGGAGAGCCCCAGCCCCGCAGCCTTATACAGCACACCCTATACTATAAGTTCCCTCATAAACCCTATAAGGTCCTCTATGCAGCACACCCTATAAGTTCCCTCATAAACCTTATAAGGTCCTCTAAACTGAAAACACCTCTAACACCCTTGTACGCACCCCAACAGAACCTGCTCTTAGGATGGCCCACTTGTCCCGACGACCACACCGATGGCGGGTATCTGTGCGAGTTTAGGTGTTTGTCTACGGATGCTTGTTGATTTAGGCGGCTCAGTGGTTTTCGGGGTTTCGGTATCTGTTGTGTTGGGAAGTGGGGTGGTTGGGACCTCGGGTTTAGGAGGTTGACGCTTAGAGATGTTTCGTTGGTCTGAGGGCTTTTTGACCTGAGTTTGTTGTTTGGGGGGATGGGATCTGGGCAGTGAATACGTGCTATAGGTTTGGGCCTATGGTGGGTTTCGGGTTGGCAAGACTTCTGCTGCTAAGGGTTCAGGTATTGAAGCAGGGTCGACGCGCTTATGTCGCACAGTTTACTTTCAGGGTTGAGGGATGACTACAGCATGCTGAGTAGAGGAGGCTTGCCCTTCCCAAGACTGTAGAGGCTTATGAAAGCGGTACGCTCGCGCGGGTGTTCGCGTGTGTGTGTGTGTGTGTGTGTGTGTGTGTGTGTGTGTGTGTGTGTGTGTGTGTGTGTGTGTGTGTGTGTGTGTGTGTGTGTGTGTGTGTGTGTGTGTGTGTGGTGTGTGTGTGTGTGTGTGTGTGGTTGTGTGTGTGTGTGTGTGTGTGCGAGTGGTTGTGTGTGTGTGTGGTTGTGTGTGTGTGTGGTTGTGTGTGTGTGTGGTTGTGCGTGTGTGTGGTTGTGTGTGTGTGTGTGTGGTTGTGTGTGTGTGTGTGTGGTTGTGTGTGTGTGTGGTTGTGCGTGTGTGTGGTTGTGTGTGTGTGTGTGGTTGTGTGTGTGTGTGCGTGGTTGTGTGTGTGTGTGTGTGGTGTGTGTGTGTGTGTGTGGTGTGTGTGTGTGTGTGTGTGGTGTGTGTGTGTGTGTGTGTGGCGTGTGTGTGTGTGTGGTGTGTGTGTGTGTGTGTGTGTGTGTGTGTGTGTGTGTGTGTGTGTGTGTGTGTGTGTGTGTGTGTGTGTGTGTGTGTGTGTGTGTGTGTGTGTGTGTGTGTGTGTGTGTGTGTGTGTGTGTGTGTGTGTGTGTGTGTGTGTGTGTGTGTGTGTGTCTGTGTGTGTGTGTGTGTGCGTGTGTGGGTGTGTGCGGGCGTGCGTGCAACCTAAACCCGTATAGCCTATACCCTAAGGCACTAACCGGATTTATCAGGTATCTGGAGTACGGTGGATGGTGGCGATGGTCGCGCCTGCCGCGGTGCCTCAAGCAGCGATAACTCTGCCAGCTGCTGGGAACGCTTTGGAAATAGTACTGTAGTAACAGTAGTGGTAAGAATGGTGATAAAAGTAATATTGAAGACTGATAATACCAAAAGCATCTAAAAGAATTAGTCGTAGTAATGGCAATAACAGTCGTCGTTATCATCATCATCATCATCATCATCATCACCAACAACGTCATCATCAACCTCATCATCATCATCCTCACTATCATCATCACCATCATCATCACCATCTTCGACATCGTCATCATCGTCATCATCATAGTAAGAGTATGGTGATAAGCATAATTAGGATAAGTCGCATATTGCCCGCCATTGTTATCATCTGGGTTCGGGGCTCGGGGCGCGCGCGTCCTCAACTTCTAGGACTTTGGAAGGGCGGAAGGTGTCGAATTGTGGGTCCAAGGTCTGCCCCCTTTTTTTAGTGGGTGTAGAGCTTGGTTTGGGGAAGTCAATTGCGGGCCTTAATATTTGTTTATTTTATTATTATTTTTTTTCTGGGGGGGGGGCTGGGTTGTTATTATGAATATAGAACAAATGGCCCCAACACCCTATTCTAATTATTAAGGCCCCTGTATATTGGGGTGTCGAGTCGTTGGGATTCTAATGGCCTCTTCGCGGACCTAGTGGCCAAACCCTTAGCCATCCAGTTTGTTGGGACGCTTACAGCAGGCAAGGCACTCAATCATTGATGGTCATCATACTTAGAGGGTCATGGGACTTAGTAACTCGGGTTATTATTAGGGTAACTACTAACTCCCATGATCCTCCAAGTAGTGTTGATGCAGTGTGAAGGTTTGCGGTGCTGTTGATGCTGAGCACCCTTTGGACCGGAATGCCTTCTAAGTGGGTGGCTGTCCAAATTATGGTCCCTCTTTGGGTCCCCAAAATAGTACGGAGGGTACCCAAACAGGGACCATAATTTCGACAACCACCCAAGTACATCGGCAGACCTCTCTGCTCGAACTGCCATGATCCGTCGTATGTTTGAGCAATCGAAGACTGCACACAAGCACTGTGCAGCTAGGAAAAGCCCCGGTAGAAGGTGTTGGGCCAGTGTCAGGGGCTTGCTACCGTTCTCACTGCTGCTCGCAGTCTTTTGGGTTGTTTCCCCTGCTGATGTTCGGAATCCTTGGATCCTACTCCCCGAGGCTGAAGCCTCAGATAATTGGCCTGGCGCTCCTCAAAAGGCATCCCACTTGGAGGGGCTTAGTAAGTAGGTTATAAGTGGAGTTATAAGTACCCTAAATGGAGTTACCCCAATTATAATCCTACTTGTAACCCTGCTTGGTAAGTTCCCTGCCCCTCCAAGCAACGATCCCTCCTTTCCGGCCTTGCCCAAAACCAAGCGAGGGAACCTCGCGATCAAGAGCAGTAAAACCTCGGGGACCCCGACATGTCGACTTGCTGAGCCCAAAAAAGGACCTAAAAAAGATATCCTAATTTAGAGAACTGCCCGCATACATGCTCAGACTACTACGCCGTCGTCCCTGGACTCGTGAACCTGGATGCCTGCAAGGCGGATGCTTTTCAGGAAACTAGGGGTTTCTCGCGATGGGAGGCTGAACTAAGCGGTTTCATCACAGCTTTGGCAGGCTATGTATACTATGTTGTGCGCGGGTTGGGTTTGAAAGTACTGAGGAGATTAGTCAAAATACTTGTAGTTGCTTCATGCGCCGGCTCCTCAGTGGTGGCAGAACCACTTCCTGAGATATTTAAGCGTCATCGATGGTGCTGATGAAGCAACCATCGGGACATTCAATCCACGACTGTTTGATGTCGGGTTCGATGCCCTCCTGAAAGTTTGCTAACCCTCAGGCATGTCGGTACACTTCGTGAGAACTGCAAACAAAGCCCGTGTCTCTGAAGTCTGTAAACTGTAAACCCTCAATGCACCGAACCCTAGCACCTCAGGCCACTAAAGCCCCACCTGGGCACTACAGCGTTTAGACTAACCAAAGCTCATAGCCCCAAGTGCCTCGCTACCCAACTTACCCAAATGACGTCAAATCCCCAATTCAACCGCAGGCTCGTTGCCAGATCACCGATGGCTGCCAAGGAGTCGAGCCACCCAGCGGAAGTGGGGGAAAAGGTGCCATCACCACCGTTGGTGTTTTTCCCCACCCCTTCGGTCATTGCCGTCGCCGCCACCCCCACCACCACTTCTTGTGGGGCTTTATCCGTTTATTCTTAGGTCAGTTGGGGTTGAGGGCGCTGTTGTTGTACGTCTTGGCTCATACGGTTCGACTGGGGTGTGTAATATGGAGGCCTAAATGATTACCCATACTATTTTGGGGGTTCCTTATTATAACTATTCATGGTATAATGGGCTTCAAAACCCTATTCTAATTTTTGAGGTCCGTATATGAACTGCTCTGGGACCCTGTGACTCTGGGTGTCCTTTTGAGAGCTTCGTTTCCGCATGGGTAGTTGTCAAAATTATGGTCCCCTTTTTGGGTCCCCATTATAATACGGCACCTAATATCTAGGGTACCCCCCAAAAGGGACCCTAAATTGGACATCCACCCACATGCTAGCATTCTGGGCTTCCGGAGAATCGAGTTAGGGGCTTTAAACTCAAACGTGTGCTGGCTCCTCGGACAGCCTTTGCGCTACTTCCCATCCTACACCTCGTAGTACCTGAAGGGACACTGTTCCGTCACCCTCAACCCTCACCTGAATCCCTAAGTCTTGCACCTGGAACCTGAAATTGCCCTAAACCTAGAATCAAGCGCTCAATATAGGCGCCTTGGTACATAGAACAAGGTTCTAGTATCATTCGAATAAAGAACCCTAAAGAGTATTAGCATTACTCAGTATTGACTTTTCATATTAGGAGTTCGGCTGGTTTAAACAAGAATTCGTGTGATGACCCGTTGGCTCGTTGCGGAGTCATGCGCTTATTCCTTACTTGAACGATCGTGGCTACAAGTGGAGTCACAGGACAGAAGTCTAGACAACTTCTAACTCCCATGATCTTGCAGATAGCACGAGAAGCTGTCGTATTCCTTCGGGTACCCAGTTTTCCTATATTATAATAGACCCCACACCTCTCTTCGGAATCTTAAGGACCTGGCAGGGTTTTGCGGGCTCCATATTATGCATACAGTATAACATACCCCAAAGCCCGGCTCCATTTCTTCAGGACCCTGCATTACTTCCACTACAGGCCCCCAGGCCACTAAACACTGAAGCCCTAAACCCTAGACCGCTAAACACTGGAGCCCTAAACCCGAGGCCGCTAAACCCTAGGCCTCTAAACACTGGGACACACCGCCCGACGAGGTTCAAGATCGGGCGCTGTGAGATCTGGACGCGACCTGAGGGCATCCAGGCTTCGATCCCCCTCCCAGGCGCCGGCTTCAGAACCCTTTGGGGTTGAGGGCTTTAGGTTCAGGGTTTACCCTAAACCCCTAAACCCTAAACCCCTAAACCCTAAACCCCTAAACCCTAAACCGTTCTGCGGGTTCAGGAAGATATGTGGCCTTGCAGGAACACAGGGCGCGCATATTCTTGCATTGCAGGTTCTACTTGTAGGGGCAGGGGACTTAGTAAGTAGGTTATAAGTAGATTATAATTGGGGTAACTCCATTTAGGATACTTACAACTCTACTTATAACCCTATTTACTATGTCCCCTGCCCCTCCAAGTACATTCCATCTAATTCGGGAGACGACATGCTCAGCATACCAGCAGGCATCTTGACAAGTTATGCAGCCCAATCCCTAAGCCCTACTTCCCAAAACCCTCAACCCAAATAACCATAAGCCCCAAGCTCTGGAAGTTTAGGTTTTAGGACCCTAAACCCTAAACGTTAAACCGTGCGGAAACCAAGAGACCGACCCCCAAGCCGTCCTCAAGGCAAGTCGCAGCTTCCCAGAGAGCCCAACACCCCTTAGTTAAGAAATATAGCTGAAATCAGAATATGAAGCCCTATATCATTTAAGCCATCTTCCTTAATTAAGGGGATTAAGGGCTCTCTGGGTTCCGCGGACCTTCAATCTGAGCCTTCGACCTCGCCCTCCAAACTGTTAAGGGTTTAGGGTTTTGCAGTGTGGAGTTTGAGGTCTTGCAGTTTAGGGTTTTTGGGTGGGTAACCTTTTTGATAATCCTTGTTATCCTCTACCGTAAGGCTCCACAGTAGTTCCTTGTTGGGGTTCATATTTCGAACTCTATAAAAGGTACTCCCAAAAAGGAACTACTCTCTTGATCCTCTTCGACCCCCCAACTACCCCCTAATATGCCCCAAATACCCACTATTAAGGACCATAAGGGCTCCATGAAAGGGCCATTGGGGGGTCCACTATACGAAAATCATAATAATACGGAACCCCCAAAGTAGTATTGGAAATATTTAGTTTAAGCCCCTATAGTATAGTATCCTCTGAGCAGGCTTTACCTGCCTCAGCTACCAGAGCGGCGCTGTGAGCAGCATGCCTCCCAGCAGCCTGGCGACGAGCATCAGGGTTCAGGTGGCTTAAACCGTTTACAAACTATATACCTTGATGCAGGTTTCCACATGTTTCACGGCTTCAAGCCCCAAAGCTCTGCGCTGCTAGGACGCACCCTGCAACATCCTACAAACAGAATGTATGCCTGAGCTACTATGCTTCCGTGTCTTCAGCCAGGGCCCACCCTAAACCCTAAACCCTGAACCCTAAACCCTAAACCCTAACCCTAAACCGTCAGCGAGACAAAGGCAGACAAGAAGAAGCGGTGCACATCCACAGAACCACTGATCTGAATGCTTACTATAGGGGCCTGAATAATTACCTATAATGATCTGAATGATATAGAGGCCGTCATAATTACCCACATTATTTTCGGGGTTTCTTATTATGATTATAGTATAATAGGCCCCAAAACCCTATTCTAATTGTGGAAATCCCGTAAGTCTCTGTGACGTTTCTTTGTACAGGCGGGAACACTTAAGAGTTGATGCGTGAACTGATGAGGCATTGCGAGGTTCGAGCTATAGGCTGAACAAGCATTAGGGCCTCACGACTTGCAGGACACTAGAAGTTGCCCAGCTAAATCAAGCTAGCACTTTGTGTGGCGTCGAGCAAAAAGAGCGAATTCGGTAGAGTCAGTCTCCCATGGAAGCGCCCCCTCTTCTTCAGTCACTACGGATCTGTTGAGGAGACGTCGAGATTTCACATTTACCATGGAGGGAGCATCTACAGGGCCGAACCCAAACGATCAAGATTTGCCCAGCTACGGATCTACAGACCCACAACTGATCTCCAGAGATCAACAGGTTATGGGAGCCCAATCCACCGCTACCGCTGTTCAGGATGCAGTTGTCCAGGAACGTGGACAGGTCCAAGACATCCAAGGGTTCCTGGATATGGACGGAGAGACTGTGAATGTCGAGACCAATGGAGGCCAGGGTCAGGAGGAGCGGCATGATCAAGAGGCCGCCTTGAGAAATCCTGGTGCTCTGTTGAACGGGTCTCTGCCTGCAGGGTCTTCTCCGTTAGGCCAGAGGGCTGGAACGCGACCGTCGAGGATGGGTGCGATCCTTTCGGAAGTATCGGCTGCGGTTCAAGGCGTCGTCAAGGCGCCGTCTGGAATGAGGGGTCAAGAGAGGCCAAGAGTCCAAGGACCAGGGTCTGCCGGAACTGAAGGAACCGTGGGTTCAGGCTATGCTACAGCGCTGTCAGATGGTGACGGGGCAGAGGTGGCGCAGCCCGTTGGGATTGTGGGACAGTCCCAGCAGGAGCCGCTGTTCTCTGCAGAGCAGGCTGAAAGGTTGGAGACCATGGCGAAGGCTGCCCCGCTCATTTATCCTGAAGCCCAAGGACCACCGCCGGAGCTTCCTCATTCTGTGAGTTCAGGTTCTGCAGATGCGATCCAGTCGGAAGTCAGGAGGCAGTTGCAGCAATTCGTAACTGTACAGAGTGAGTTAGAGCGTAGGATTGTGTTGCTTCAGAGAGAGAATGAGGCATTGCGAAGGGGAGATGTAGGGGCTGGGATGGATCAAGGTGTTCGAGGTTGGCTTGGAGGATTAGGTAGAGGGTTGATGGGTTTTGTTCAGCAGAATACTGCCAAGGCCGGGTCACCCGCTGTCCTTGCTTCAAGCTCAATCGCCTCAACCCAGTACGTGAACACGGGCCGAGGCGTTCATCTTCCACCACCACCACCAGCCTATCCTCCTCACGGGACATCCATTCCCGCTTTACCACATCCGCAGGTTCAAGGTGCAACTCTGCGAGGGGCGATAGAGGTGCGGAGTCCGGCTGCTTCTCAGGCGGTTGACGCAAGTCAGGGCCCGCGCCTACCTCTGATGGATCAGGTCACAGGTCAGCCAGAAGGTGCCCAGGTGCAGGTCCCAGGTCAGCCATCAGGTGCCTATGCTCAGGTCCCAGGTCAGCCGTCAGGTGCCTATGCTCAGGTCCCAGGTGCCTATGCTCAGGTCCCAGGTCAGCCAGGAGGTGCCTATGCTCAGGTCACAGGTCAGCCAGGAGGTGCCTATGCACAGGTCACAGGTCAGGCAGGAGGTGCCTATGCACAGGTCACAGGTCAGCCAGGAGGTGCCTATGCACAGGTCACAGGTCAGCCGTCAGGTGCCCAGGCACAGGTCACAGGTCAGCCAGGAGGTGCCCAGGCACAGGTCACAGTTCAGCCCGGAGGTACCTATGCCCAGGTCACAGGTCAGCCAGAAGGTGCCAACTCACAGGTCCCAGGTCAACAGTCAGGGACAACCACTCATGACGCAGATCCGCTGATGAGTTCCTATACTCAAGCGTTGGGCATTTCTTGTGGAGGTGGAGTGCCGGTTCCATGTCCACTTCCAGGGGTCCCGTCTTTAAACGCGCGGGCAGGAGTTGAAGGCGTGCCCCATGCTCAGGGCCAAGGTATGGCAGGCTCAGGCGGAGGTGGGCAGCCTCCACCTACTGGAGGCAACCGTGCAGTTGAGATAGGCAGTGCCAATCCCTATGAGGCAATGATGAATGGCATTGTTCAGCTGCAGGGACTTGTGGCGCAGATAGCTACCAAGCAGACCCCCAGTGCGGGGGGGACCAGCTCAACAGGCCCCGAAGTAGTGAGGCCAGGGGTCACCGAAATAGCCAAACTCCCAGCGGCCACTCCAGAGGCAGCTCTATTGTTCAGCGACTGGATTCATGCGGTGAAGCCGTCGATGAGTGATCTGTCAGATAGCTCGGCTGGATGCTGGGAGCGTGTGCTGGAGGAGGCAAGGAAGTGGTACACCTCGGCGTATGTGCCAGCAGCTCCAGTACAGAGGTTGAGGTTGAAGCTTCCCAAATCCTCTATCGACTCCGAACCCAAGTGGGCCAGAGTCAAGCACAGGATGGAGCACTTAGTGCTTCAGGCGTGTCCCGAGGCCATCCGGGAAGAACTTTCCAGCGCAAGGATCGAAGGACTTCTTCACGTCCTCTGCCGTTTGCATGTGATATATAAGCCTGGGGGACTGTCAGAGCGCACTGAGGCGCTGCGTCAAGTGCAGTCGCCTAAGCAGGCCGATTCACCCGTGGACGCTGTTCTTCGCCTTCGAACGTGGAAGCGATGGCTCACTAGGTTAAGCGACCTTGGAGGTTCCAAGCCCGACCCAGCGGTTCAGATACAGGCTTTAGAGGTCATGACGTCGGGAGTACTTAAGTCCCTTAGTGCTGTGAACTTCCGCGTAAACCTCGTGAGGGCAGCCTTGCAGCTAGACACTCAACCCACCAATGACCGCGTGGAGGAGTTCTACGAGCATGTGTTGGCCGAGTTGGAGAGCGTGTCTCGCGGCAACGGGGCAGCGAAGGATGGCAAGGAGAAGGGCGTTCCACCCAGGCAGGCGGATGCTAAGGCGGTCCAAAGCACGGGTTCCGAGAGTTCTGGAGCTTCGAAGTCCCCGGCCAAGGCGATTCCCGCGTCAACGGGTCCAGGAGGAGACGGCTCAAAACGTCTCTGTCGATGGTTTCATGATGGGAAGGGATGCCGAAAGGGCGGAGAGTGCACATTCGCTCATGAGTGGAACTCGATTCCTAAACAGGATCGGGTCAACCGTTGCATGAGGTGTGGAGGTGAAGGGCACAAGAAGGATGTGTGCACAGCGCCCGCCGGCACGCCGAAGGCAAGGTCCGAGGCAGGAACTCCAAAGGGTCAGGCGAAGGAGACAGCCGCCAGATCTAAAGCTGACGTGGGCCTAAACAAGGTGCTTTCAGAGGCAGCCGGTGTTCTGCGGGAGGCTCTCCGTTCAGGTCCCGCCGAAGCGGAGGTGCCGTCTGGCCAGGCTTCTACAGCAGCCAAGGCCCACGTGCAAGGTGGAGAGTCCGTTTCAGCTGCGGCTAGAGCCGCGGCGGATCCACCGGTAATGGCCACCGCAGCTAAGATCGAAGCGCAGTTGCAGGATCTCGAGGCTAGGGTTTTAGAGGGCCAGCCCAGGGTTCGCGCTGTAGAGGTCCAGGAGGCGAGTGTTTCCGTTGAGCCGAAGGAGCAGACGGCTTTGCTAGACTCCGGGGCCACGCACACGGTGTTAGACCCGACCTCAGTAAGCTCCGAGGACCTCTCTCCCTGCATGGTTTCGCTGGCTGGGGATCAGCGGCAGATGTGGAAGCAGACACCCGGGGGGTCGTTAGTGGCGCCTCCTAAGGACGAGGGAGGAGAGACCCAGACCATATTGCCTCTGGGGTCGCTGGTTGAGCAGTTGGGCTGCAGCATTCGCTGGACCAAGAAGGGTGGACTCCAACTTTGCCACCCGAGGCTCGGTCGTCTCGAGACGAGCATCCGGAGCGGATGCCCACAGCTTAGCAAAGGTCAGGCTTTGGAGCTTGTTCGAGAGCTTGAAGGAGCTCACATCGGAGAGCTCGAGAGTAGGCTGCGAAGGGTTCAGAGCAAGCTTGCGGCACAGTCCTGTCAAGGTTTCCAGTTGGTGCTGGATGAGTTTGTGGCCACAGGTTCGCAAGTGTCAGCGCAGAAGTTGGTTGACAGGGTGCCATTCCTGAACCACGTGCCCGGTCGAGTGAAAGGCAAGTTGGCGGTGGGCCTGGAAGATGCCCAAGGATGGGAGCTGCTTAAAGCATTGCCAGTGAACCGTCGCATGCGCAAGAGACTCCATGCTTCTCAGAATTGGGTGTTGAGTTTGTGTAGCGGCCGGGGCGATGCAGGCTTGAAGGCCAAGTGCCAGGAGGAGGGGTACGATCTAGTAGAGGTTGACCTTCAGACTTCTCGGGGGTGGGATTTAACCGACGAGGGGTTATGGAAGGCGTTGTCGTGGGCGGCATTCACCGGCCGCATTTCGGCCATTATCGCTGACCCCCCTGTCAGAACTTGGCAGGCCACCGACACTGGTCGAGAACAGCCGACCAAGATCCGTACATACCGCGAGCCATGGGGTGTTTCCGGTTTGAAGGGTTCGTTGCAAGCAAGGGTTGATGAGGACGTGCTTACCAGCATTCAACCCCTGTGGCTATGGACGGTTGCTTCAGTTGCGAAAG